TATATATATAAAAAAAAAGAATAAAGGATACTCGAGACACTGACTTCCTAGGTGTGCAGTCACTGGCATACGTGGGACTTCACTGCATCCTTCTCCATCTGCTCTTCCCTCCTTGCAGGAGAAGACCGAAGCTGAGCGGCAGAGGGTTTTCTCCAAGTTCGAAGGGTTGCGTCTCTTCCTAGAGGACCATGCTCATCATCTGCTGGCTCAGCTGGGGGACCTGGAGAGGGACATTGAGAAAATGCAGGAAGAAAACATCACTAGTCTGACAAAGGAGATCTCTCGTCTGGACACCTTGATCCAGGAGGTGGAGGAGAAGTGCCAGCAACCAGCAAGCAAATTTCTGCAGGTGAGGGAGAAGCCAGGCTACCACCACCTGGCTCCAGGCTATTTTCTGGCTCTGGGTATTGCCCCATGATGCTGCCGAACCCAGGCTGTGCCCAGCTCCAAAGCCACATCCGTGCTGTTGAGGTTTCAGTAGATGTTTTGCTGCCAAGACCCATTCACTGAATTTCCTCTTCCCTCTCTCCCTTCCAGGACATCAGAGGCACCTTGAGCAGGTACGGGGCTTCCTGAGCTTCTCCTTCCATCCCAGGCTGGGGAGGGAGGTTGGACCTTGGGTTTGACAGGAGAGGTACAGGAAAGCCTTTATAAAACCTCACCCAGAAGTCAAATGTTTGACTTTGTGCACAGAGGCTCTGAGCAAAGGTGTCTTTACCCATCGTTGAATGTGCAGCAGGTTTATTAAAGCCTGCACCAGCTCCTCTGAGCTATGGGTGCGCACAAAAGATTTCTTGGTCTTTCTCTGAGAAGATGCACCTTCTCTTCCTTCTGTCCTCCTTCTCTAGGTTTGAAAATGAAAATTTCCAGCAGCCCCCATTGCTTCTTCCAGAGCTGGAAAAGAAAATCAGTCACTTCAGGGAGAAAAGTATTGTTCTCGAGGAGACTTTGAGGAGCTTCCAAGGTATTGAGCGTGGGCTGGGGTGGGGAGATGGAGCAATACCTGTGCGAGCATAAATTATATTTATTTACTTAGAGTATAAATTATATTTTATTGCAATTATATATGTGATCTCAGCGTGGCAGAACAACCTCTCTGTTTTCCTGTTCTCACTGATACCTGCATGTTATATCAGATAATGTCTCTTCTCCCCTCTTTAGACATCCTGATGTTTGAGCTGCCTGAAAAGAGTAAGTCCACATCTCCTGGAGGTGAGGGAGTGGGAAGGACCAAGGGAAGGCTGAGCCCAACATGGGATGGACCATGAGTTTGGGGGGAAGGGAGGGGCAAAACCACCATAAGGAGTCGGGGAATCCTCACCATAATGTCTTGATGGATTCATTTCTTTCAATGGAGCTGCTAACTGCATGAAGGCTGAGTGTGCCCCTCACGTCAGTATGTTCAGGGAACAAATGCCTAGTTTGGCATTTTTGGCACAAAAAGAAAGGGTCGGGGTCTCCTACTCATCTGCCTTGGGGCTTGTTCTCTTGCTGCCTTGGGAATCTTCTTCTGACGCTTGCCTGGGTCCTGTGGGATGGGAAAAGCAACCAACGTCTGCCCCTGCAGCAAGGGCAGAGCATCCCAAGCAATGGGGTGGATGGTGCTGCAGGACCTCCCCGCTCAGCCCCAGCAGCGAGGCAGAACCCGAGGCCACGGGAAATGGTTTGGTTTCCTTTCATGCTCTACGCTCTGTCCCTTGCAGTGAAGGTGACCCTGGATCCATCCACGGCTCACCCCCAGCTCATCGTGTCGGCGGACGGGAGGAGCGTGAGGTGGGAAGATGCCCAGCAGGACCCATCTGCTGAGGGGTTCGGCACCGATCCCTGCGTGCTGGGCTGCGAGGGCATCACCTCGGGGAGATGCTGCTGGGAGGTGGAGGTGACACCCAAAGGCTCCTGGGCTGTGGGGGTGGCCAGGGAGTCCCTGAAGAGGAAGGAGGAGACCGCTGTGAGCCCCGAGGTAGAGCTCTGGTCCATGGGTCTCTGTGAGGGTCAGTTTTGGGCTCTCACCTCCCTTGAGCGTATCCCGCTATACCAGATCCAGGTCCCCAGAAGGGTCCGGGTCTCCCTGGACTATGAAAAGGGTCAGGTGGCATTTTTTGATGTTGATAAGAGGGCCCTGATATTCACTTTCCCAGCAGCTTCATTTAAAGGGGAGAGTATTCATCCCTGGTTCCTGGTGTGGAGCGAGGGGTCCCAGATCACTTTGTGTCCCTGAAGCTCTCCCTTCTTACCCAAACACGAGTTTTATGTCCCCAACATCCCTATTTCCAGCACTTTGGAGGACTTCTGTCTACTAAAGTCCTAACTGGCCTTTCTGGCCTCTCTTTCCATCCTCAGTGATGCCAAAGGGTTGAGCATTTCTGTGGGTCAGTGTCCCAAATGGTCATCCCCAAATTGGGGCGTCGGTGGCTGACAAACGGAGCCACCTCTGCCCCACAGCACCCTGCACCAGCTTGACTGCTTCTCTGGTCTTACGGTTTTAGCTGAAGTAAAAAGATTCACATGCGGTAATGTTCTTCTCTGTCTGGTTATTTGCTGCTTTTGGACGTCAGGTTCAAGGCGGGGAGCTGGAGTTTTGGTTAACTAAATCCCGTTGCTGAGTAGGACGAGAGGAAATGGCCTCAAGTTGCGCCAAGAGAGGTTTAGACTGGACATTAGGAAAATTTCTTCACTGAAAGAGTGGTCAGGCCTTGGAACAGGCTGCCCAGGGAAGTGGTGGAGTCACCATCCCTGGAGGGATTTAAAAGCCGTGTAGATGAGGCGCTGAGGGACATGGTTGAGTGGGCATGGTGGGGTTGGGTTGACGGTTGGACTCGATGATCTTAGAGATCTTTTCCAACCTTAATGATTCCATGATTCTAGTTGCACAAAGCCTGTGAGTTGGCTGGGCTTGCACCCAGAAGGGTCCACAAGCCCTGTGCAGGTGACCTTAGGGACATCCCTGGAAGCCATGTGCCACGCTGCTCTCCTGTCTGCTGGCAGTCCCAACCAGAGGGAAAGACACGGAGGAGGAAAATCATCTATTTTTTTATTATGAATGATCTACATCGTGGAGGTTTCAAATATCAATTTTCGGAGAAGAGAGGAAACAGTTGAGGCTCAGGAGCTTTGCCATGTGCGAACTTCCCACCAGCAAAGATACCGCGTTGGTAAGACTCCACATTGCTGGGATAAACCTCACCTGACATCAGAAACTCACGGTGCAGGTGTCTGTGTCTGAACTGGCCACTCCAGGATCCTTTATAAGGGAGAAACCGACTGGTTTAGGGTAATTGCACCCATTGGGGGGGGTAAAGTTTGGACACCTTGGTTTGGAGGTGACCAGCTCAGACGGGGACATCTGTACTTAATCAGGCAAGCTTTTCTACTACTCCCGCTTTGAATTTTTCCCCTTTTCCCACTATTTCCCATTTCTATGCCCCAAGGTCCCCTCTCTTTGCCTCATTTTTCTCAGGCTTCTCTCTTCTCCCTGCACATCCATCCCCAGTTTCACGGGGAAGAAGGAAACACAAAAGCCAAAGTTCCCATTTCTTCTCTTCCCCGCGGTCCCAGGGGTGGCGGGGGGGACGTGTGGTTGTCCCCTGAGGCTGTAGAAAGTGCTCCCCATGTCTCAGGGACACAGCCTGAGCTGGGACCTGGCCCCCACCACCCAGAGCCACGGGCGGACCCTCTCCCCCGTGAAGGAGGCGCGGGAAAAAATGAACATGAGCCCCCCCTCATCGGCGTCAAAGAATGCCACCGTCCCTCCGGCGTAGTCCAGGTGGACGCTGACCCGCCGGGGCACCCAACGGAGGGGCAGGAGGGTCACCTTGCAACTGGTGAGCGCCCGAACTTGTCCCCCCCACTTCTCCACCCCCCAGATCCCTCCTTGGGGACAGAGGCTGAGATGCCCCTTCCGACGGATGGACTCGCGGGCCACCCCCACAGCCCAATCCCCCCCGTCCCCCACCTCCCCCTCCCAGCAATGCCGGCCTGCCGCGAAGCCCTGGCATCCCAGCACGAAGGGCCAGTAGTCAAATCGCTCCGGGTTATCAGGCAGGTCCCGTCGTCCTTCCCCGCGTCTCACGCTCTTACGGTCCTCGGAGAGGATGAGGTCGGGGTGAGCCGTGTCGGGGTCCAGGGTGACAATGGCTGTGGGGTGGGGGACAGGGGTGTCAGAAGCAAGGCTGAGCATCCCAGGGATGCATCCAAGGGGCAAAAGCATCCCAAGATGGAAGCATCCCCAAGAAGAGGAAGGGTGCTGTACATGAAGCAGAAAAGGTGTTTTTAAACAAAAAAAAAAGGAAAAGGTGCACAGTAACGGCAACAGACTCGCGCAGAAATCCCTGCAGATTTTAGGCTACGTCGGGTCAAAAATAAATGCTGAGGGGAGAAAAAAAAACGAAGGAGAGCGATAGGTGGTATGTAAACCAGGAAAGTCTCGAGCAGGTCGTCTCCTACAGCAAGCATCAACCACAGGACAAGACCAGACGGGTTTGGCTGAGCATGTGATTGAAAAAAAAAAGAAAAAAAAGAGCTAAAACCTGAAGACGGGGTGATGAATTGGGTCAATCTGTTTCCGTATTTGTTTCATGGAAATCGTTAGGTTTCGAGGCAAGGGCTCTGCCCTGGGGTGGGTTTTCCTCCAGCGTTACGCTAAGGCTCCAGCTGCAGGGCTGAAAAAACTTGTTGGGTTGCCCTGATTTTCATATTCTTCCTTCAGCATCTATTTTTGGCCACTTTGGGCTAGGTGTGCCTTCATCTAACAGGTACGGCGGCTCTTGCGTTCTCACTCTCGGCAGAAGGCAAGTTTGGGAAAGGCTCGGCTGGCGGGGGAGCCAAGCCAGAGAGCAGCCCATCCCTCATCCATGAGCATCTTTCAGGAATTAGGGCGAAACATGTATAATTAAGAGAGTGATAAATGAGGCAGCATCAAATTGTCATTTCTTCTGACCGGGAAAAGCCCTTTGCTCTTCCTCTCCTCCATCCCAGGGTTTGCCTCGGCAGTATTTCTGTTCCCAAAGTGTATCCAGAATGAGCTAAGAGCAGCTCAGCTCTTCCAGCTCTCCCCAAAATATGGCTAGCCTATTTTTTTCTCCTCCTCAAGCCCTTCTCAGTACCTTGTAGCTTCTTCAGAGTTTCCTTCAGAGCACTGTTCCTCCATGAGAAATGACAGACTCTCTCTTCTGACCCTGGAGAAACATCCACTGGCAGCTGGAAAGTCACTTTCCCACACCTGAGGGGGGGGAAAAAAAAAAACCAACCCACACTTTTTGGAGGGATTGTCATCATTTCAGGAAATCTGATGCCCCCAGAAATGAGGCGATGGTATTGCCAGAATGTTGGGTTTTTAATCTCACCCCCTTGGCAACCCAAATCTCAAGGAAAGTAAAGGCCAAATTTGTTGGATTAATCTTTTTTTTTTTTAATTTTATTTTTTATGTAGACCATGAGAAAGGTCCAGCTTGAGAGGACTGGGCTAGAGAAAAGAGCCCAGACTTTGCAGTAAAATTAAAGCCAGCCTTTGCCAACGTGGAGGTCATTTTGAGACTAAAGCTCCTTTGATTAGCGCATCCCCAGAAATGATGAAGAGAGGAGACGAGCACCCAAAATACCCTTCCAGACTCTCGCAATTTCCCTGAAGCAGAGGTGTATTCAGCAGCCACCGATGAGTTTTCTCCTCCATGGTCATTGCTCTTTGAAAAGTTGATGAAACGGCTTTTCAGAGAGGCCACGTACCTGCTGACGGTGCTTTTCACATCCTGGGGAAAGAAGAGAGAAAGAGAAAACGAAGGTCAGCGTGAGCTTTTCTCCTTAAATCACAGCAATGCTGAATTGTTTAGTTGGGAATGGACCTCTCGGGTCTCTGCTCAGGGCTGTGTCCAGGCAAGCTCTGAATACGTGCAGGGATGGAGATGCCCACATCCAGAGGGACCCTGATCCAGGGAGGCACCACGCTCACAAGGAAAACATTTTTTTCCCAAACCTAGAAAAAATTTCTCTTGCTGCAACCTGTTCTAGTTGCCCCTCATCCTTTCACTGGACACCTCCGAGACACTGGCTCTGTCTGCTCCATAATCCCATTAGACCATTGCAGATTACCAGGGCCCCCAGCAGCACTAATAGACATTAACGGTCCTGATCAGACCCACCTGAGACCCCCCCCACAGCCCAGGGGCTCTATTTAAGCTCAGTCCTGGGGTATTTAGTCCTTTTGCAAGATGCCTTGGAGGAACACGGCCATGGACCCCGCTGATTCATCCCATGGGCTGCATTCCCAGCTTGCCTTCAGCCCTGCCCATGGATCTACCCGACGCTCCGGGCTGTCCTGCCCTGCTCCCCGCTCTCAGGTACCGCAAAGGTGGGGTGAAGGCTGGTGATGCTCTTGCTCCCGACGCTATCATGCTCAGCTCCCCATCCCATGGGGAACCACCAGCCCTCGCTATTCCCTCCCACAGGCAGTGATTTCATTCCCTTTTTTTCCCATCTTTCCAGGCTGCAAATCTCCCTCTCCTCATCCCCTTGGGATTTTCAGATCTACAGAGGGAATAGGAGCAAATTTGACCTAGGAAAGCCCAAATAATGAAGCCAGTAGCTACCTGGTGGTGAGGACCCTCCCTACAATTTTCCCTCGAAAAGCTGTAAACTGGATGAATTCACTCACCGATTGCTGATTCTTCTCTTCTTGCCCTTGTGTCGAGGTGTCCAGCTGGGAAATCTCCTCCGAGAGTTTGGTGGCATTTTTTGCCTGCCTCTTCTCAATCTCATTTTTCAGGTCTTCCAGCTGGGAAAGCAAGAAGAGCTCATGTCCTCCTGGGACCTGAGCACGGTCTGCCAGGGCTGAGCTTCTATCCTCCCCTTTTAAGATGGAAACGAAGGAGCAGTGGGATGGGAAATACCGTGAGGAATTCATGGAAAGGCGTTTCCCACAGGAGGAGATCACCTGTGAACCCACATCCCTCCTAACTTTTCTTGAATTCCTGGAGAAACGTGGCGGGGGGGGAGGGGAAATCAAACTTGATGCAAAAAAGCAACATGGATTTGGAAGGAAAGATGCTGATAAAAGCCACAAACACACTTGCGTGAACTCGGGCAGAAAGCCTTGATATTCCTGCACTCACCAGCACAGCAGTGGTGCAAAGCAACCGAAAAGGATCTAAAGAAATGACCCTAAAGTCGGTGTATTACTGCCCAGGGACTTGAAAGGTCAGGGAGGTTGACACCTACCAGATCCTCCAGTTTTCTGCACTCCAGGGTAGCTGTCCTTCCTCGGAGACCTTCTCTCTCTTCCTTCAGAAAACTTAATATCCGCCTGAATTTCTTCCGAAGCAAACTAAAAAAACCTGTTGTTTTTGTCCCTTTGATGGGGCTGGATCTTTCTCTTCCTGTTCCTTCCCAGTCCTGGGTAAAACTGCGGCACGGATGCGTTGAGCCTGCGAGTCAGCTCTTCGTGCCATGTCTCCTGGGCAGGAGGTGGTGACACCCTTGACTTGATCTGCTGGGAGCGTCATGTTTCTCCCTTGTCAATCTTCCAGCTTTTTATTCTGGGGAGCTGTTGAGGGCTGTCACCTCGCTGCTTTTGGCCCCTTCTTTTTTTAGGGCTGGGCACTAGGCAAAACCATCAGCCCTCCCAGGACAGGGCTGGAGGCAAAAGACGTTCAGGCTGCCGGGAGGGTGAGGAGCTCTTGAAGCTTGGTGGGACCACGGATGGGGAAAACGTAAGAAAACAGGGAGGGAAATGTGCAACCAGAACCCTGTAGGTGCTGGAAGAGGGGCTGCAACTCAATGTGCGTAACGGGGCACAAGTTGGGGTCCTTGGGACCCCTGCCACGAATGTGCCTATAGCCGCCCATGGCTACCTGCCCTCCAAGAAGCACTGTCCTGGCTCTGAGCTCACAGGGAAATGTTTCTAAGCAATTCCTAACCCACTGCTCCTTTGTTAAGCTCCATGGCTAAATATATATATATTTTTTGCATGGCAGCAACTGGGAGTTTTAGAAATGGGGTCACTGTGACCCAGCTGAAGGGCTGCCAACTGCGATAACTCTCCCAGTTGCAATCACTTGACCAGGTTTGGAGAAGCGAGTCTCCTTTCCAGCAAACTATTCCCATCAGGAAGAGCCGCGGGAGAGTCGCTCGCTCCAGGAACAGCAGGACTGGAAGCAAACGCCCTGCAACCACTTCCCAGGGAAGCATGGCCTGGGGTGAGCAGCTTGGGAGGCAATCTGTCCTGCCAGACCCAGATGCAAGAGATGGGTGCAACCAAGTGAATGTTGGCATCTAATGAGACAACTCCGTCTGAGCTGGGCTGCTTTGCTCTTCGGTGGAGAGCGGCTCTGCACCGTCGGCAGAGCCTAGGGCGCAGCTCCTTTCATCTCAAAATTAGGTGCCTAGGGTTGGTCAAATGAGTTGCACCCTAAAAGCGTCTACAGAGCCTGGAAAACCGGCTGGGGTGGAGACATCTGCATTGCAGATTTCTAGAGCGAAGGGACAGCCTGGAAGAGAGCTGGAGATGGGAGACAGCTGGATGGGGATCAGAGACATGGAGGGAACCTGTGGCCCTAAAAGAATCAGAAAAACTTCAATCACTACCTCCAAGGAAAGCACCGAGTTTGGTAAAAAACACCGGGGTTCAGTGTTTTGTGTTTCTCAGCAGGTGCCTCTGAGAGGAGCGTGGTGGGACCACGGTGGTTCAGGGACCTCCAGCAAATGTGTCCTTGCAGAAGAGCTCAAGAGCTTTTCCCTTGGTTCACCCAGGTTTTCTTCTTTGGTCCTTCCTGCACTGACAGGGACATGGTTTAGTGGGCATGGTGGTGTTGGGTTGACGGTTGGACTTGATGATCTTAGAGGGCTTTTCCAACCTTAATGATTCTATGATTCTATGACTCTATGACAGCCTGTCTATTCGTGTTCTCCTCTGCCTTTCCCAGCTGGGCTTGACTCAGTGTCAGGACATGGACCCAACATACAAGGTGACACATGGGATCATGCTCCTCCCTGTCAGAGATGTGGCTAAGAGAAAGGGGATGAGATGGGAGAAAGAGCAAAAAATACTCCAGGCTTTTTTGCTCAAAAGTCTTTCCCAGTAGCCCTGATTGCCCTTTTCTAATAAATCCTCATGCTTGAGCTCCTGCAGTCATTTCACGTTGGCTTTGCAGAAAGCAGATGTCTATCCTGCAGCGGGATCCCCCGTGTTTCCCAACCCATGGGACCAAGTGACAGCGATGCACCGGACGGAGGAGCGTGGATGGAGGGGAGATGTGACAATGTGACAAAGAGCAGCACTGAAATATCGGCTGTAAGTTTGCCCTCGGTGGGGATGGTGAGACGGGGCTTCATCACGGGGTGCCCACTCATCTCTCGTCTGTTATTCTGAGCCTGCTCCCTCCCACTCTCGCTTCTGCTTCCTCTTCTCGGTTCTATAATCAATAACGTGTATTTATTTCAGTGATGCCTCTTCCTCCTTTGGGTCTCCTGGGAAGAAAAATCAGCAGTTTTTGAGGGAATCAATGTAGGTGAGTTAGGCAAAAATGCCAGAACTTGTATTTCACGTATCCACTCCAGCTGCTTTTATAGTCGAGGAATATCTAACCGGCACCACCACAGGAGCCTCTGGTACAATTTATCCCACGTTATCCCTCCCGAAGAGCCAACAGGGACAAACAGGATTTTCTTGGGAGTTATCCAGAAAGCTGGACGTGTATAATGGTGTGGAAAATTGCATTCCAGGTGGGTTTGTTTCCCCTCACTACCTGCAAAGGGCGTTTGAATGCCTGGAGGTCCACCACGAGAACGTGGAAAGGTAAGCGAGATGTCCCCATCCTGGGCAGCTTGCTGACCCAAAAGCTGAGAAATCCGGAATAATACATCCATAGCAAGGCAGAAAGTAGAGAATGCAAAACAAAATGCTCTTTTATTTAAAATAAATATCAGAAATGTAGACAGAGCTAGAGACCAGCTCCCCAAACCAAGACACCTTGCGGTGAAAGGCCACCTCCCCTGGCAGAACAGATTCTGGATCTGCCTTGCAATTGATGTCAGAAAGAAAACACTTTGCAAAGAGATAGAAACAGGAGGATTCAGTCCATTAAGGGCAAAATAAATTTAAAAAGACCACATGTTTCAAAGTCCTGAGTGCTCTCCATCCCTGATCAGCCCCTCGATGTTCCCTTCCTTCTGATGCTCTGACTCCATCACCTCATACTGGCTGATCCTTTCTCCTCACCGCCGGCTGCTGGTGTCCCATCTCCCCATCCTTGCCATACAGGTGCCATCCCAAAGCTCCCAATGGAGATGGACATGGGAGAGGAGCAGCAAGTTCTCTCGATGAGATGCTCTGAGCAACCACAGCAACCACCTGGCATCACGCAGATGTCCCTTCCGTTAAGGCCTGATTGACAGACATCTCAAGGACAGATTCGGAGGGGAGACCTGAATCCTACCCAGTCCAGTAGGGACATCAGCTGCCCGGCCACCGACTGGTCCTCTGAGGGTGGGGTTTGGGTGATTTCTTGCAAACGAGCCCCCATCCCCATCTTGAACCAGGGGAAGACCCTCTCCCCGTTGAACGAGGCTCTGGTATAAACCAAGATGGAAGCATCATCATCTGCGCTGAAAAATGCCACCCGCCCCCCTTCATAGTCCAAGGAGACCCGTATCCTCCTGGGAAGCGGATTCAGACGCAGGTTGGCACGGGGGGATGTGAGGGAGTGATAAGCCTCCAGCGCCCAGACCCCCTCCTTGGGGGTGAGGCTCATCGGTCCCTTCCTCTTGACCGATGCTCGGGCCACCCCCAGGGCCCAGACACCCCCTTGCCCCACCTCCACCTCCCAGAAGTGCCTCCCCGAGGTGAAGCCCTCGCAGCCCAGCACGCAGGGTTCGAAGTCGAATCTCTCGGGGTTGTCCGGGAGGTCCTGCTGAGTCAGCTGGCCCCTGGCTTGTTTTCGGTCCTCGGAGAGGTGAAGGTTGGGGTGAGCCGTGGCCGGGTCCAGGGTCACGTTGGCTGCAGGACAAGGGAGAACCAGAGTATTGGAGGTAGGGCTTGGCCCCAGGAGAGACTGGAGATGTTTCTTTTCCTCCCAGCACCTGGGACCAGCCCTGTTCTCCTGCTTTTCCCAGCTCCGGATGCTTCACGGGGGGTATGGGCATGCCTTGGGTTGGCACTAGCCTTGGGGTCCCCCAGCAGAGATGCCCCTGGGTGGAAGGAGAAGGGAGAGAGGACAAAGCATGGAGCAGAGGCATGGGGAGGGATGGTGGGAAATTCAGGGGGAGAGAAGGAGAAGCACGAACACTCTTCTCTGTTCCCTTTCTTCGGGTCCCAGAGGGGCATTTGGCTTTATTAGGACCATATCTCAGCACCTGGATGCACCAGGAGCATCAACCCTTCCCTTCCTCTCCCTGGGGGGACTGCATTGGTTTTTTCCCTGGGAATCTCTTCCACAAGCCCCAAACCCATTTTCTCCCGCCCACCACCGTCGACTTACTTGGCTCTTGCAATTTAAACATCAGGCTGTCTAAAGAGGAGAGAGATTTCACGGTATCAGGTTTACGTGTCAGATAAACCGGCTGCAGCTTAGCTTCATCATGCAGGCTGGGGAGGCGAAACGGCTAACAGGAGACTTGGGAGGGGAAATACTGAGGGTGTGAGGGCTTGGCTGGGTGCAAAATCGCTGGGTTGACTTGCTCTGGTGCAGGTATTGATGCTGTGATAGCCACGCAACTCTCCCAAAGCCAGGGCAGATGAACCTCCTGGCCAAGCTAAACTCATCTCCAAGAGACACCGCAATGGATTTCTCCCTCTGTTGCAGCATCCCCTCCCTGGCTTTGTACCCACACGAACTTTGATTTTCCCACCAGCTTGGAAGTGATGGGAACAACCGCACCAGCAGCTCTGCTTGAATTTGCTTTTCACATGAGACAGGGGAGAGGAGACTCCTTTGCTGAGCTTGTTTTTCTCTCCTCTCCACTTCCCAATTATTTTTGCCCCAGGAAAAACTCTCAGTGTCCTTCTCTGGTTAAAAGTTTCAGCTGCGTTTATTTACAACAGTTACTAGGTGGGTTTTGCGTTAGCAGCCAGCACACGAGAACCCAGTTTCTCCCAGATATCGGGCACAAAAGGCAACGTGCCCGCTCCTAACCCTGCTCGGTACCTTGGCATTTCCTCAGCATGCCTCTCACAAGGACGTTTCTCTGAACAAAGTCCTCAAGTCTTCTTTCTAGATCGGAGGAAATCTCCACCGGAGGGTTGAACTTCATCTCGCAACTGCAAAGAGAGCAAAAGCGGGCAAAACCCGTGTGTGATGTATTTGCTTGCTCATTTTGTTCTCATTAAATAATCCAGGAGAAGCTATGGGATGGGCCGAGGATACTTATCCGGGAGCAAATAAAATCCCCCTTTTCCCTGCCCTCTTTCTTTGCAGTTTGCTTCCCCCAGGCAGTCGCTGAACGGACATTTCCGAACAAAAGGCACTGTTGTGGGAGGCTGAGCTGTCGCCTGCACCCCTCTGCTTTGAAACCCCGACCTCGGGATTCACCCAGGTGGCATCCAGACCTCTCCAAGCACCAGGGTGGGTAAAGTGAGGAGCCACCTTACCTATTCAAGAGTCTTCTGATGTCCTAAAGGTGGGAAGAGAGAGGAGAGACAGTTGGGGAAGAGGAACAACAAGTGTTGTGTCTTCTAACAGAAGTTATATATTTTTATGGCAATGCAGTAGCAAAGGAGGACCCTACCCATGTGATGATCCCACTGGCAGCAATGCTTGAAGACTCCAGGGAGTTCCCGTGGGGCTGAATTTGGGCTCCCAGGTCTCAGGCTTTGCTCTATCCCTCCTTTCCCCACCAACCCCAATGCTTTGGGCTCTCACCTGCAGGAATTGGCTCGCCGGCTGTTGGAATTTCCCCTCCATCTCCCAGATCAGGGTGTCGAGGTGGGACATCTCCTCCGAGACCTTCGCCACTGCTTCCTCCTGGACCCTGGTGATGGCCCGGTCCAGGTCTGCCAGCTGGGTCAGGAGGAGGCGCTCTTGGTCCTTCAAAAATTGGTGCAATTGCTCGAATTCACACGCTGTCTTCTTCCCTTCGTTTTTGGTTTTCTCCTGCCAGGATCAGAGATGAGGGCAAAGGGGATGAAAGAGGGACAGGAGACCTCCCCACACAGAAGAAGGCATGGCGCGACCTCTCTGCGACTCTAGCACCTGAAACACTGGCAAAAACTTCCCTCGTGGATTATTTTTACATCATTCCCGTTTCTGTTAGTGTCACATCTCTCTGCAACAACCCCCAGACCTTTGCAGAAGGAAGCCCTGTAGCCTCAGGTGAAGCTCTGCAAGATGGGCAGGAGATGATGGGGGCTACAGAAAAGTCCCACCATGCCCAAGAAAAACAGATTAGTGCTTCAAAGCCACCTGGAAGCAAAACCAAAGGATGCAACCTCAACTGGGAGATTTTATAAAGTTTAGGGGGAAAAAAACCCCAAACCTTCCAGCCCATCTCTCTAGACCAGGCTGGGGGCTGTCTGCCCCCCCCGGCTCCCTTGCAGAGGAGCTGCAACGTTATCTCCCCCGTGCAGGCTCCAGCTGATGTGAAACCCCAGCAGATAAACCCAGGGTTGGCCGGTGCCCAGAGCAAAGGGCACAACACTCTGCAAACCAAATATGCAAGATCTGGCCTCAAAATACACCAGCAATGCTGGGGGGGATGGAGAGACCCAGGCTCCTGCTGGAAGGCACCTACGAGGTACGAGCTCTTCCTTGCTCCGGTTTTTTTGCTTTCCAGGTATTTTTCTCTCTCCTCCTTTAAAGCCTGTAGGCGGGCTTGGATTTCTTCCTGAGGAAAAAGAAAAGATGTTCTTGGAGGAGCTGAGAAAAATCCTTTTTCTCCACTAAAATTACTTCTGCCCTCATCTTAGGTGGGAGAGGCTTTGCCTAAACACTGGCTCCTCTGCAAGGAGCAGAACTGGAGGAGGAGGAAGGTCCAAAAGCGACCTACGATGTTCTGAAGATCTGTGCAAAGAAAAGGCAACCTGCAAACACCAACCTGGCCACAAGCACGGGGGAAAATTCTGCAGGAGAGCAAAACACCAACAGTAATCAATAACCCATGTCCCGGGAAGCATGTAAGAGCGAGATAAACGCGTGGTGAGATTTCCCTCAAAAACACTCACGGCCTCCAGAAATTGGTGGCGCTGGGATAAATGTCTCTGTATTTAATGACCCCCAGTGGATTCATTTAGCGTGCGTTTATATAAGTGCTTTTTGAACCCACAGAAACCTTCAGCATCAGCAACACCTTGCAGCAAGGAGTTCCTCCTGTTCACGCTGCAGGACGTTGCACGGCTCTGCAAAGTGCTTGACTTTTGGGTGAGGAAGATGACAAGAACAGGTTTGGATCAGCAGTAAAACCGAAAAGGAGCAGAGAAGGGGAAGAGACAGGAAAAAGTTATTTCTCTGTATTTGAAACTAAAGAAACAGTGAATAGGGGAACAAAGATGCAAAATCGCCCTCAATAACAGATGTAACCATGTTTAAAAAAAAAAAAAAGAAAAAAGGGAATTCTTGGGCATTTTTACATGTTTTGAATGTTTATCCTTGTCAGTATTTCAGTACAGTCAAGTCAACAGCAGAGTTCAAAGAGGAAAAAGGCTAACAAAGTATTTTTTAATTTCTCCCAGGTTGTTGGCAAAGATGAATAAATGAAAGAAGGGGGGGGGAAACCCCTGATAGGAACATTGTGAAAAACAAATGTCCGTGCAATAAAATGCAAACAGGAAGCACGTGGGCAAGGGACACCCAAAGACCCCCCGTTCGCTGCTGCGCCACGGAGGTGCGCGGAGAGCGGCCGCACTTTGCCCCTGGAAAGGGATTTTCCGTGAGGTGGGGAGGTGCGAGCACATCCTCGAGCTTTACCTTGTATTCCTGAGCAGCTTCTTCGACGGGGATCACGGTGTGGGAGCGGTGAGCCTGGGACCTGTCGCACACCACGCAGATGGGCTGCCGGTCCTCCTTGCAGAAGAGCTTCAGAACCTCCTGGTGTTGCCTGCACAAATCCTCCCGTCCCGCTGCTCCTCCTCCTGCCCGCAGGCTCAGCTGCCTGGCGATTTCGGCAATATTTGCTAGTTCCCTGCTGGGACGGAAATTCTTCTGGAAAGCCGTCTGCCTGCACTGCGGGCAGGAGAAATGTCCCTCCAGCCCTTCCCAGCAGCGGGTGATGCACGCCCGGCAGAAGTTGTGGCCGCAGTGGATGGAGACGGGGTCTTGGAAATAACCCAGGCAGATGGAGCAGGAGGCTTCGCTGTGCAGGCTTTCCGCCGGGCTCTGCGTAGCCATGGTTCTTCCCAACCTACCACCGGGATGGGATCAAACGAGCTTCGCTTTGCAGGAAGAAGAGGAGGACGTTCCTCCTTCTGGCTCGGCCGTTTTCTCGTCGCAAACGGGGGAAACCGACCCCCTAACGCCACGAAATGGCGGCGCGGGAGGCTCGAAGAGGAGCGAGAAGAGGGCGAGCACGCGCGATGCTTCCTCCTGCCGGCCTCCCACCGGTTTCGGTTCAGTTGACTTTCTGAGCCAGATGTGAGATAGCAGATAGGAGGCTGGAGGGCAGGGCTGCTCTTCAGCGGGACCAGGACGGGCTGGAGAAGTGACTGGGGAGAAATCTCATGAAACTCGGGGTGGGATACCCTCTTGCACCAGGACCAACCATGAAACAGGACTTCGGGGTCTTGGGGGTGACAAGTTGTCCACGAGCCAGCGGTGGGACCGTGCCCCAAAGATATCAACCCCACACGGGGCTGCATTAGCAAGAGTGGAGAGGGGTGGGATTGCCCCCCTCCATCAGCCCGTGTGAGGCCATATCTGGATACGGGGACCAGTTTGGGGCTTCCCAGTACGAGGCAGACAGCGTCAGGCCACCAAACTGAAGCCCAAGATGGATTTAGAGATTGGGGTTATCCAGCCTGGAAAGGAGAAGGATCAAATCACTGTCTGCAATTGCCCAACGGGGTTAGAGAGAGGACATCAAATCTCTCCATGCCTCTCATTATAACATTTTAATTCTTTAATTATCCATTTAAGCTGTTTAAATGGAGCTCCTAGGCCCATAGTCAACCTTGCCCTGCTTTTGTCTGCTTTCCTAGGCATCCACTTTTGGGGACAGGCCAAGGACTTGATGGCCCTTCATCTGAACCCCTCTGTCTGTTGTATATTCTCAAGGAAAAAGTCCAATCTCTTGCTTGACTAAAGCCCAGTGCGTCAGGGATCACGCTGAGCCGACGCCAAAAGGAACAGTCCCATTTCTTTGTGTTCATTCCCAGGTCTGACTCCCCTTACGCGTTGAGTCAGGATCCAGCCGAGCTGCAAACGACTCCAACTCCTGGATTGCTGCTGACTTTTCACCCTCTCTGTTTTCCACAGACTTGCTGTGTTTGACAGTGCAGAAAACTCAGGCTTATCATCTCCCTGTGCAGTGGGTTTCAGAGAGGAACGAGGATGATTTTTCCTTCCTCCAGTTATTTGAAGCAACTTTCAAAGAAAACCCACGGAAAAAAGAAAAAGAAAACACACAAGGCAGAAACGACTTAGAATTGCACATTTACTTTTAATTCCCCGTCGGTGCGAGTTTGCAGGCACCGAGGAACAATCATTTAGTGATTAAAAGATCAAAGTATATTTTAAGGCACGGAAATGGTCCCATTTTCCACTAAAGGAAAGGAACTTGAACACCGCTACCCTTTCATTTGAGGCTTGGGCTGGAGGGAAGATGTTGTCCTTGATGACAGGGTAGGTGCCAGCTCCAGCAGCTGTGTCTGTATTTTGCATTAAACATGTAAACAATCATTGAGGTTGGGATATGCCTGGGGGGTCCCCCTTGATTCCTTTTCTACGTTGTCCCTGGCAAATAGTCTGTCTGGTCCCACCAATTCCCCTCTGTCCGGTGGCTCCATCTCCAGTTATGGTAGCACCTGGGATGGAGAGATGGGTCTAAGGCTGTCCAGACCCTCCAGCCCAGGGCAGGAATTTCTGGAGGGTCATCAGAGCTCGGAGCCATGCGAAAGCTTTGCAGAGCTCCTGCTCCACACAGCGTTTTGCATAGCCCACCTTTCTTGTAGCACCCAGAGCCACAAAGGCTTATGGTGGAACTGGGACAAAACTCAGCCCCTGGTTTGTTTCCCAGGGGTGAGTGGATGGGGGGTTTATTTTTTTTTTTCCTGTGCCTTGGGAAAAAAGTGTGAGGAGAACATCCTCCATCACCAGGAACCATGGGTAGACTGCCTCCCCTTTGAAAGAAGCCTGCAGAAAAGCAAAGATTTGTGCTTTGCTCACAGCATCAAAAAACACCACTCTCCCTTCCTGACAGTTCAAGCAGATTCGTATCCTCTGGGGGACATTGTGTAGGGCCAAGGGGGTGACATCAGGAGAGGTCAGAGCCTGGTACCCATCTCTGCTGTGACACAGCGCCCATATCCCCGCTTCGGGCTTCAGGGGAAACCAACTCTCCCTTGGCACCGACTCCTTGGCCACCCCAATGGCCCACATGCCTTCTCCATAGATCTCCACTTCCCAGCAGTGCCAACCCGACGTGAAGCCCCTCGAGCCCAGCACGCAGGGATGGGCTTTGAACCTCTCCGGGCTGGAGGGCAGGACCTGCTCATAGCTTCCCCACCACATGACCCTGCAGTCTTCCACAAGGTAGAGTTCAGCATTGGCCGTCTTCAGGTCCAACGTCATCTGTGCTGGAGGTGGAGAGAGAGTCAGGCTCATTGCAGCAGATTTGGGGGGGCACAGGGCTTTTTCTTTCCCTTCCCATCCATCCGATCCAGGTGGGACCCCCTCAGGCATTGCCTCATGGTGGGACCAGGGTGGGAGAAGGAGGAAAGGAGGCAGCAGAGCAGTTTAGGTTAATCTTTGGGGGCAGCAGAGCTTGATTTACTATATTTTTTTATTTCATATGCTGGATTGGTTGGGCACATGCTCCGTTCACTTACTTCTTAAAGGAAGTTTGAACTCCAGTATGCCTAGAGGAAAGAGAAAGATGTGAGAGATGTGAGAGGCAGAAAGATAAATTGGTCTGATTCTGGATTTCTGCAAAAATCCAGAGGGTCAGGAACAAGCTTGGGGGAATGTAGAGAAACTTGAGGAGGGAGAGAAGAAAAACAGGACTACACATATGAAATTCCCCCACGCACAGAGGGGCTGCCGCAAAGAAAACGAAGGCAACGACGCATTGGAGCGTGTCTGCAGTGAGGAGCACGGGAGAGCAGCGAGACACTATCTCCACGTAGTTAATGTGAAATATGTGGGACCCAATGCAACAGCAGCAGCAGGCAGGTAGTATCAGACTAACACCAGCTGCTCATTCGCAACCTCATTATTTCATCTTGAAAAAAAATCCCTCGTTCAACAACCAGGATGTATTTCTTTCACGTGGCTTCACTCCATCCCTCCCCACCAAGAAGCACGATGACATTTTCCTTTCCGGACCTGCACACGGTACCTTGAAATTTCTCCATAGCCTCCTTGACGACTGCGGTTTTCTCTGTGAAATCACAGAATTTCTTTTCCAGCTCAGGGGAAATATCGAGCGGCTGCGAGAACATTTCCCTCTCACACCTGGAAGGAAAGAGGGGGTGTATTTACTCCTGGTTGTAGTTTGCTACTCAATGTTTTATCAGCAGTCAGCGGGGAGAATTAGCGGAGGGAAGATGATGGGTCTGCACCGTTTCGCACATCTTAGACAGCAAATTACACAACACGATCACACATCCCCCTTGTAGCTGTTTATTGATTTGCTTCAGCTGTGAAAGGATGGGGTGGTTGTGTCAGGGTCCTAATGGGAACCAACACCCCTGAGCAGACCCACCTGGGACCCCACACCCCCGCCCATGGTCCAGGGGCTCTATTTAAGCTCAGCCCTGAAGCATTTAGCCCTTTTGCAAGCTGCTTTGGAGGAGCATTCATGGACCCTGCTGATCCGCCCCGTGGGTTGCCTTCTTGGCTTGCCCCCAGCCCTGCCCATGGACCTGCCCGATGCTCTTCCCAGCCCTGCTTGGCTCTCCTTGCTCAGGTACGTGGAATGGGGTTATGGCTGGTGACGTCTCCGCTCCCTGTACGGTTGCGTGCAGCTCCGTAGGGAGCCACCAGCCCTTGCTGCACCCTGATAACTTGTTCCAGGAAGATGCTCATTTTTGTTACACTGAGCTATTTCTTCAGCAGTGGCTTAAAAGTCTTCCCCAACATGCCCCCACCAGATATTCACTTGAAGAGTGTAGGAACCTGTGCCCTTCCGAAATGGAGCCCTGTCCTCCTAGTTCAGCCCGTGCAGGTGACTGAGCCGTCAGTGCCAGTACATGTCTGAATTTATCATTAATTAAGTAGAGAGGAAGAGCCCTCCTTCCAAACCCCAGTGTCCTCAGTCAAGTCCAAGGGCTATATTGCAGAAGGGCCAACCTGTCCCTACATGATTTCTCCCAGTATCCTGCCACAAAGCTGCTCTATTGTGGTGAAGTTTTGGTAGGAGAAGGACCACATACCTGCTCAAGGTAGTTTTGATGTCCTAGATGAGAGAGAAAAAGAGACTTAGTGACCTGGAATACCTCCCCTTGGAGTACGAGGGCCCCACTGTAATGAAATCCCTCTTTTAGCATGTTGGGGTATAAAAGCGAGAGCTGGCGACCAAGCTGGTGCTCAATCAGTGCCTGCACAGCAATTTTGGGAAGCCTGGGGTCTCACCTTCAGGAGTTCATAGTCTGGCTGCTGGCATATCCTCTCCATCTCCCCAATCAGCATGCCCAGGCTCGTGGTCTCCTCCAAAAGCCTGTTGAGGATTTCTTCATGCGCTTTCATTATCTCTGCGTCCAGCTGCTCCAGCTCGGCCAGCAGAAACGACTCCTGCTCCTCCAGTAACTTGTGCAGCTGCTTATATTCGGTCACAATCTTCTGCTTTTCAGCTTCTCTCCTCTTCTGCCAAGGACAAGCCAAAGCGGGTAAAGGAAAGCATCAAGGGGGGCAAGAACATCAAGCGGGACAAGAACATCAAGAGTCAATGGTGGGTCAAGCATTAGTGGGATCCACCAAAAAGATGCATTTGGGGAAGATACAAACCCACTCTTCCTTCCCCACACCCCATGGGTGATACTCAAGGGGTGTTCCTCCCTTCTTCCCCCATCCTCTGCCAAGGAAAACTGATGGGCACCTACGGTGTAGTCCTGGACGCTGTCTTCTCTATACCCCATGGAAGATTGAAGTGCCTTTTGCTCTAATTTCAGAAACTGCAGTTGGGTCTGAATTCGTTCCTGAGAGGAAAGAAATAAGTCCCTCGTTTAATGGCATCATTGTCTGGCATCAGAGGTAGGCTCTTTGTTATTACACCACCAATGGTCCTTCCTGGTTCACAGCTGGCTCGAAACTCATTCTGGGTCTTTCCAGCTTCTTTATTGTAGGAATAAACCGATTTCAGGTTGGCCTGAGCTGCCTGCAGAGGCATCATTGCTGGAAAGTACTTTGTCAGGGGTGAAGCCAAGAGGGGAAAAAAAAGCTCAATGCAAAATTAGAGGCAGGCTCATTCCCGATTGCAAGCAGGCCAGCTGAGGAGCTTTCACATCTAACACCAGCTGGTCCGCAGCAGCAGGAGACAGACGGGTCTGGCACCTGCATCTGCTGCTGATGTAAGAAATTTTCGACCTCTGGAGGGTGGCGTTTTGCTGTGAGCAGGGCCATTTAGCCGGGAGAAATAACACCTTCGTTTGAAAAGTGGTTTTTGTTTTTTTTCTCTTAGCTTAGTCTTAGGTCAGATGCTGGTAATTGATGTAAAGCTTTTAGAATAAAAAAAAAAAATTACAAATAAGGAGCTGAGGGTGAAGATGGGGGGGGAGTTAATTTCTTTGGAAATTCAGTTATGGTTGCAAATCTCATGGATTTTGGCATGACTTGCTGTGCTCAGCAGAAGCAATGGGGAACTCTTGACTGCTCTTGAAGTAAGTGTTGGGAAGTTTTGTGACACCCGTAACTGTTTCAAAGCTATTAACTTCCCCCTTTTTTTTCTTTTTTTTTTTTTATCCAAGGTCAAGGAGATTTCGGGGAGCTGTGGGGTAGGAGAAGGGCTGAGGATCTCTTTTTCTTTTTTCCTACTGGTCTTCAGCATAGCTGATCTTGATAAGGGACCCACATCCTGCAGAAGAGAGCCATTTATGGCTGCTGGATAAACAAACCCTCATGAGGCTCAGTAAACACCCAGCATCGCAAATCATGAGATTAAAAGATTACACGGGGATTGTGGTGGTGAGAAATCATACGCATCTGTTTCTTACTCTTCCCTAAGCCTGTGGCTGAACCCTGGGGGAGATGACTCCTTGGCCCCCAAGAGCGTGGCGCTCCTATGTCCTCCTCTTCCTCTGGGCAGGTAATGCCACCTCAATAGTTGATATCAAGAGACAAGGATGGATGAGTCCACAGGTGGTTTATCCCACAGCCCAAAGGCTGTACAGGTATCTGCACCCATCAAGAGCAGCAACACCAGGAATTTCTGGCCCTTTGTGCGTCACCGTGCCCATAAACCCCTCACCTTGTACTCCTGGGCAGCCTCGTCCACAGGAACCACAGAATGGTTACGGTGCACCTTGGACCTGTCGCACACCATGCAGATAAGCCTTTCCTCGTCTTCGCAGAAGAGCTTCAGGGCTTCCTGGTGCTCCTTGCACAAGTTCTCCCCTCTTTCCACCTCTCTGACCGATTGCAGGTTCAAGTTCTTAGCTATTTCAATAATGTTGGCCAACTCCCAGTTGGGTCGGAGGCTCTCCTGGGGCACCGTCTCCCTGCACCGGGGGCAGGAGAAGTTGGTGGTCAGTCCTTTCCAGTTCTGAGTGATGCACGCCCGGCAAAAGCTGTGCCCACAGTGGATGGACACGGGGTCTTGGAAAAGTTCCAGGCAGATGGAGCAGGAGACTTCATCCTGGAGGTTTTCCACAGACATCCTGGCTGCCATGGCGAGCGACCAAGTTTGTTGCACTTTCGAACGATCAGGAAGGAGAGAGATTTCCTGATTCTAAGCCATTGGTTAAACGGAGGTCCAGCCCCTTTCTAGCAGGGCTTATGGCAATATATTTACTTATGGTGCTCTGCCGGTGCTGGGAAGTAGCAGTTAGACAACTGGGGAGGAAGACAATTAGAGATGTCCATCCCGTTTTTACCCTTTCCTGAAGCACTGGGATTTTTCAGTCTCCAAATCCTGTCCTTTGAATCAGTGGATTTGGTGACTCAACAGCAGCCAGAACAGGAGCTTCACACCTTACTAGCACCTAAGAGAGGTTGTGGTGCAGCTGGGGTGGGAGACAATCACTGGCTGAAAATGCTTCTGAGATATCGGGAGTGACGAGGTCCAAGGCTTGGGAAGGACCTCAGCACCCTTCGAGACAGCATCTGTAGAGCTGTTTGGGAGGACTCTAACACCTCTTGGGTGACCCTAAGGGTTCAAATGTACAATTTGCTGTGGGGCAGGGCCTTCCTGGATGTCAGAAGAAATTTCTGCCACTTCTGACCCTTGGGACATCAGCTTTGTCCTTGGGGTAAGGTGGGACATCAGACTAACACCCTGCAGAGACTGCTGTGGATCAAAGATGCTTATGTGTTCCTGGAGATTGCTGGTGCCTCCAAGACCTTGCAAGGTCCCAGCAGGTTTCTCTGATCTGCAGCGACATAGCTGAGCGTCTGGACTGATGCTTTTCCTTCCTTCTCCTGCTCTTTAAATGCTTTTATTTTGAAAAATTGTTGCTGTCCCTTCTTTCCAGCATCATTCATTTGCCATTGCCTTTCAACCCGTTTCCAGTCCAGGTGGTTTTCAGGCACATAAGCAGGAAGAGTCATTGCTGTTCCCTCCCATCACAGCTGTGATGAAGGAAGAAAGGCTTCGTGAAGTGCTTTCATTTGAGCTTTACAAGAAACAGGTCAAGAGAGGGCAGCAAAGCCACCAGGGTTTGCCATGCTGGTGGCGGCACAGCACTATTTTCCCAGTTTCTCTCTAACAAGAAAGAGAAAACAGCCCTTGAAATATAGAAAGACGCTTTAATACAGCCATTTTGCATATAAAAATTTATAGAAAACTGTTTACTAAGCCTCCTGACTCAAACGTGTGTATATAAATTGCAGAAAGGCAATTCTGTTCATCTTTTCTCCTCCAACCTCTGATTTCTCCCACCCCACAACTCGGAGAAAGGCAGCTGAAATCCACGGGGTTCAACACCAAAGCCTTAAAATGGGTATGTTCTTGCCAGCGCTGTGAGGTTTTTGGCTCATAAGAGGTCTTGGTGGGGAAAATAGCAGATATTACACTTAATTCAGTGGTATCCTCTTTTCCTTTCTAGCAACTAAACCAGGAACCAGAGCCAGCTTCTTCAGCCCTGCAGGAATGTCATTGTTGAATGTCAACAGTCAACACTGTTGAATGTCAAGGTACGGAAAAATCGGAAAGGATGGGAGAAGAATAGAAGGGATTAAAGCTGTGAAATTGGTGTCCCAGGGGCTGTTGCACAAATTATAGGCTTCGTTTTCCTGCTCGTCCCAGGGTGACATTCCCCAGCAAAACCTTGGAGAGTACCCAAATGTTAAAAAAAAATCCAGAGGTCTGCCCAAGATGATCCCTTCTCAATCTGCTCCTCTCAAAAACCCCATGAGACTGAGATTCAAAGTGGACACCGGGACTCATTTGCTCCCCTTTATTCTTTACCATCCATAGAGTCCCAAAATATAGTGTGGTTTCCTGGATCAAACCAAAGGCTTGTCCAGAGCACGTAATGTCCATCTTGCTGCCCGTGCTGTCTCAGGGAGCCAGCTGGATCCTGGACTCCCAAACCCAGAAGAAAGGCAGGATTTTCTCTCCGTTGAAAGAAGTCGGAGGAAAAGCAAAAGCCAAGGTCTCGTTATCGGCATCAAAGAAAGCCACGTGTCCCTTCTCGTAATCCAGAGAGACCCGGATAGTCCTTGGCCTCCCATTCAGAGGTTGAACTGTTTCGAAGGAGGTGAAAGCTTGAAACCTGTCCCCACAGATGCCAACAGCCCAAATCCCCTGGGAAGGGTCGAGGTTAATCCAACCCTTTCTCCACGCCGAGTCTCTGGCTACCCCCACAGCCCAAAATCCCCTGCTCCCCAGCTGCACTTCCCAGTAGTGCCTCCCCACCGTGAAGCCTTCGCAACCCAACACGGAGCAGTAGGTATCAAATCTCTGGGGATTGTTGGGCAAATTCTGGGGCGTTTCATCCCACCTCACGCTCCTCCGGTCCTCGGAGAGGATGAGGTGGGGGTTTGCTGTGTCTGGATCCAGAGTCACGTTTGCTGATGGGAAGGAAAGCACGAGAGAAGAAAAACAGGGTGTCAGAGGGAAGGTGATGGATATTTCTCTCCATCTGCACCCTCCTGGTTTTTTGCAGGGATGAACTCTTGGCCTGACCGAAACTGTTCTTTAAAGGCTTTCTCCATGAAATATGCCATCCAGATCTATTTAAAGGCTCTAATGATTTGTACTTTTTTTAATTCCGGGGGAATAGAAATTCATCTTGCCAACACAGCAGGAAAGTGTGAATTCCCTGCTTTTGCTGTCTTTTCTCACTTGGGTCCCCTTTTTCACCCCAGTATACCTCCAGTCTCCCGCGACTTACCCCATTGCACATCCAGTTCAACTGGGAGACTCTCTGGAAGGAGAGAGGAGGAGAGAAGTGCTGTTAGTTTGTTTATGGGGGAGAGGGAGTGTTTTAGAAATGGGTAAATACGACAAGGTGCACTTTTCCCCTTGCAAAACCAGGAAAATCACCAGGTGAACAAGTCCAGCTCATGGATAGATGGACCTTCAAACCCAATATTGACCAGCTTTACGAGGATATTTCTTTAATTCAGAGTTGACTGCACCAATTACTAATTGGAGATCAGAGGAGGGAATGGGACAGTTATCTGAACATGGAGAACGGTCTCAAAATAGCTCATTCAGGGCTTATCTACACCACCATCCGTTTGCACGGTGTTGACTTTTCACGCTGACTCGCTCACGGGTGGCTAGATGTTACCTACAGCCTGTTTGGTTTAAATAGGGCCGGAATCAAGAATTTGATTCATTTCCTTCGTGTAACTAAAGGGAGGGGTTTGCTCTAGCCCTTCACATTACTCAAGCATTCAGACGCGTGTGCAAATACGTCTGAGAACACCGTTACCCTCCCTTTTCCAGCCCCAGATAGGAGGGTTATTGAGTAACTCATCGTTAGCATTCCTTAGCTGGGGCTTTATGCTGGTCATTGGCTAGTGTCCACTCCTCTCCAGCTGCAGAAGTGTGTTTAGATTTTCCCCTTCCTTTGTACCTCTGAATTTCCTCAGGGCTTCCTTCAGAACGATGTTTTTCTGAGATAAATCCTTGAGTCTCTTTTCCACTCTGGGAAACTTCTCTGTCAGTTGCTGGGAAGTCCTTGCTTCACACCTGGAAGGAGAAGACTTTTGTATTCCTTCCTTGCTTGAATGAGCTACGTAGAAACCCTGCTTAGAAAAGCTGCCGGGTAAGCTTATTTCTCCCCAGGCATCAGGTTGAGTCAGTTGAGACATTGCTGGGCATATTGGTGGTCCCAACGTCCCTGTGGAGGACACACAATTGCTCTGGACCTCCTCAATGGTGGGTATTGGCTTCCTCCAGCTGAATGGAGGAGGTGGTGGGGATGCGGTCTTGCCCCAGGGCCATCTCCTCCCTAGCTTCTTCCTCACCCTGAGCGCTGGGGACTCTAGTAGAGAGGATAACCCGTCCTGCTCCCCCATTCCTGTCCGCTTTGTGACACTGTCCTGGGGACAACTGTCCCCTCCGGAAAGGGAGAGCCACGTACCTGGCCAAGGCACTCCTGGCATCCTAAAGGAAAGAGAAGATGGGAATTAAACTTCGAGCGATCTTCAGGTCCGTTTCTATCTCCTATCTCCCTCAACTGTTGTTTGCAAGCACGCTTGGCTTGGTTTGGGTTTTGTTGTGTCAGCACAGAGCAAGATCAGGGATCTCGTACTCATACAGTGGCCCATTTGGTCCACGGCTAGAAGAAATGCTCAAATACAGCTGGTGGAATATCACGTCCACTTCCAAACACTGCTTCTGCTTGTGTCCTGCCTGACATGGTCTCTTGGGGAGGGAAAGTGGTCCTATGCTGGGTAGCCTCACTGTGGACTTAAGCCAGGATTCGTTTATTAGCTCTTGTCACAGTCCTGCAAGATGTGCATCAATCTCCCTTACTTTGCCTGGGTTTGGGAGGGAAACAGTTGGTGGACACTTCCAAGATGCTGAAAGACTAATTCTGGGGTCCTCCTCACCATGGGTTGGATATGACATAGCATAGCTCATTAACGTTGACGTGCGATGTACGGTTGGACTTGATGATCTTAGAGGTCTTTTCCAACCTTAATGATTCTATGATTCTATGGCTTCTTCATGAAATGAGCATCTAAATAAACTACACAAAATGTTGAGGCAAAGTGATTGGGGAGAGGGGGAAGAGACCGCCACCTCAACGGCACATTCAGAGCATTGCAAACTCCATTGCTCAACTCCTCGTTCTCACCTGCAGGGATTTATTCTCTGGCTGTGGGCTCATCCCTTCCAGCTCCCGGATGAGGTTGCCCAGGTGGGAGATCTCCACGGAGATCTTCCTATCGTTCTCGGTCTGGGTCTGCACTATCTGCTTCTCCACATCCTCCAGCCACATCAGGAGGAGACGTTCCTGCTCGTCCTGGAACTGGTGCAGCTGCTTAAACACCAACATGATTTTCCACCTCTCGGCTCTTGTCTGCTGCTGCGGGGAGGGATGAGAACAGAAAAAATCCAAGACCTATAAAACCTGGTTAAATAAAACAGGAGCAAGGACTGGTCTTTGGCCCTGAGGACAGTCTAAGTCCATAGCACGTGGCTCTGGGTCCCCTTTGAGCTTTATGTGATAAGATACCCTGTGGAGTCATAAAATACTTGTGGCCTTTTGG